ATGAGATATAAATGAGAAAACCATAAATACAACACCCTTCAGTCTTGCTATAATAATACATTTTTGCTGCATCATGAAATAAATCAGGAATCTGGTTTTGAGTGAAATAAGTATTAATAAATATATCTGTTAAGCATTTATAATATTTATATAATATTTTAAATTATAAATTTATATTTTACTCATGCATTTATAACTGCTTATCAATGATTTATAATGCATTTGTAAGTGAGTTATTAGTCATTTATTAACACCTTTATAAACCCTTTACAAAGGGAACCTTAATGTAAAGTGTTACCATTTTTTTGATATTCATTCGACTAAAATAGCATGTAACAATTTAGTAATTAGAAGAACATGCAAAGTTAATTATATATAGTTTATTAAATCAAACAGTCTTATTCTTTAAAGAAAGTTTTCTTCAAAAAATTGTTTAGTGCATTGTTAATATGTTGTGGTGTATCTTTTTTTTTATCATATGATGCAGATTTGTCATCACTGTTGAAGAAATCAAAAACCCTTGTGTTAAACATTGCCAGTGTGGTTGTGTCTTCGAAACAATCTGAAAATATTCCAGTTTCTTAAAACATTAAAGAGAAATTTAAGTAGTTCATTGTTATGTGATAGACAGACGCTTCTTGTTTTCTTGTTCATTTAAAACTGTGGCAGATTGCCTCATATACAACATGTGTTGAAGAGATAAATTATGCACTGATCAATTTCAAGGTGTCTGTTGGTTAGATTGCTGCTATGTCAAGTGAAAAGGCTAGCTATGTGATGTTTTATTTACACACTGGGGGCCTATTGTCATCTTTGATAACGTCTGTTTTGTTTTTCTCGGTACCGTGCAAATGTCATGCTTTCAGGAGGTTATGAAAATACCATTATTTGCCAACATTTTCTTATGCTATAATTTTGATGTTGACGATTTAAAAGACACGGCGCTTAACAACATGCCCGCCGCCCCCAACTAGTATGCAGGTCAATACTTTGCATGCATTGCCTTTCTCATTGGAAATCTTTCAGCTCCCACTAGGAGATGCCAATCATCTTTGTGTTTAATATTTTATCACTAAATCAAACAGGATCCCCCCAAAGGGCTATTAACACTGACTGACTAGCAGAAGCACATCTGCTGGGGTACACTGGGAAACTACCTTTGATAAGTGCCACATTGAAGCAACAAAACAACAACCGGTTCAGTCCAGTAATATCATCACATTGATGGGTTTAATATGGGATTAATATGCTTGTTATATAGATCAAATTCAGAAACGGATCTCATATCAGAATGGGAAATTCACCTTGACTATTATTCACATCTCAATGACTGTGAATTTAACTCCATATCTGGCTGACAGATTTAACCCTTAATCCATTTGAAATAATGAGGCACATTCTGTAGATCTGGGTGGTGTTAAGAACGGTTTTAGAAAAGTTAATCTGATGAAATCTACTCTTATGTGAGAGTGTGTGGCAGGACTAGTTCTTGGCACCCTGAGTAGAATCGAAACAGGATGTGAAAGCTCAATCAGAATCTAAAGTGTGCAAGAGAAAGAGAACTGATCTCTGTTCTGTTCTCTGATTTTCAGGGGTCGACGTCTTGATGGGAAAGAGGAAGAGGCAATGGAGGGTGAGGGAAATGGCCAGCACGTCCATAATGAAGTGGAAAATATTTTATGTGTGTTGCTTGTACAGACCAAGAACATCATTGTGAATCTGTATTAGTCTATCTAAAGTAATATTTGAGATTTCCCAAAACTTACTGATGCTAATATGTCTTTGCTATGGAGTGGCTGGTTATCATCTCTATAGATTCCAGTCCGGCTGTTGCCAGAGCAACAAACGACAGGTGACATCATGCAATTATAATTTTTTCTCTCCTTATGCCTTTTCTCTAATTTGGCACATGTGGAATAGGTGTGAATCATAATAAATAAGAGAAAATGTCTAGTCAATTATGTGAATGTAATTGACATCACATACAGTAAATGTGATAAAATGAATAATGTTAACTCAAATCATTCTTGAAATTGTTCATTTAAATTTTGAAGGTGAATTTGATTTGAATAACAGGAAGAGTAATTTACTGAATTGTAATTTAAATAAATCAAAGTAATGCATTATAGCAAATTAATTCTCTCTCTGAAAGGTTTTAAACCTTCAAAACTAAATGCTTTGTCGGTTATTTTTCCACAAACGTTGCTATTCAGATTGAAATGACTATTTCTTTGAAATTCAGTACATCCAAATTCAAATTACAATTCTTCAATTGTCAATGGCACACAACCATGTTTGTTGTTTGAAGCTGTTGACAGAATCCATTACATGTTTTTTTTTTTTATGAATTAATAGTTATGCTAATAGAATTTATTTTAATTGTTCTGGTTTTCAATTTGAATTTTGTCTTTCTCTATGAGGTCATTGCTCCTGATATAACACGTGAGTGAGGAACCATCAAGAAATTTCTACAGACTTATTACCTTTGCACAGGCTCTCATTTTTCTGTTCATAATACTTAACAGGAATCCTGGGGAGTGCCTGAAAACATATAAAACACTTCCACAGACGTTCACAATCCACCTGAGAGCCCCTCACTGGGTAGAGTGGATGTGTCATGTTCCCCTGCCTCTGCTTTACAAGGGAACAGTTTGTTTCAGCCAGGTGGAGGTCAGAGACTATTGCATCAGCTCGGTAAAAACACGAGCTCATAAGTGAATAAATGAGGCTGATGAGTGAAATAAAATGAGATTGCAGACCCGAAAGCACCACCCGTCTAGAGGGGCTTCCAAAAGCAGCTGCTCGGATTGGCCGTTCTGCTTCATTACTTTAATTATTTTCCCTCAAGATATGAAGACCTGAGGATTTTTGACACGTAGAGAGAGAAGGGGCAAACAAAGGTTTGGCCTATTTTAGGACCTCTTTCAGAAAGCAAACAGCGCCGCCATCATGCTTTCCTGGAGTCTATCCATCTTTCCTGCAAGGAGACCGACACGACAGCCCCCCCCCAAAAAAAAGCCTGGTTGCTGGACACGGCGGGTAAACAAACCTGCTCGGGGGGACCGTTCCTTGCCCGGCACCTGTCACTATTACTGGAGAGCAGGTGCAACTGTGTTCATTAAGATACACATCAGGACACCGAAGTCCTTAAGAGCTGGTTGGGGGCACATTTTGCGAGGCTGCCTTGCAAACACAACGTAGCAACAAGGTGAGCGAAGTAATTTCAGCTTGAATAATGGGGGGCGTCTCGTGAGCCTGACAGACGTGTGCGGTGAAAGCAATTTCACAGCACCTCTCCGTCGCTGTTCGTGTGATCTATTCGAGGTGTTCGCCGACACCGCGGTCAATATGACAGACACCGGTGGTTCGGGCCTGATAAGGTAGCCTGAAAGAACACGGCTTGGGTGCTGCATGTGCGTCTGTCAACTACGGTTCCTTAAGAGACAACGGGCATTCGGAAAGGTCAGAAAAATAGATGACATCAGCTCAGCGCAACAGATGTTTTTGGATAAAGTGCAGCAGTGCTACGACGTGTCTCATTTTAAAGGGATTTGCTTTAAATTCGGCTATATTAGGTGATATGACAAGCGTCTAATCCCACAGGAACCAGTGCTACAATAATTAGGACACGGTAAACATGATGGCGGCATTGGACAACACGCAGTCGCCCATCTTAAACACATAGTGGCGTAAAGAATGATGGCTAACTCTTTATCTTCCCTGGGCTTCTGTAACAACATATGTTTGTAAGTAATTAAAAGAAATTCCCAAGTGGTTACTATGTCATATTGAAATACAATATGGTGAGCAAATTACCTTTCCACAGCAGTTTATGCAAAGCTAGACACTGGAGACCGCTTTGCTTCTCCCTGCTGCCGCATGGAGGGATTGGCAAAGACAATCTCCTGCTCTATTGATGTATTGACTTCTAATTAGTTTGTCAGGAGCTGTACCTTTTAAGATCATGGGAATAATTGATGATGTCTTACCTAGCAAAATAAGGAAAGCGAGAAACATTTCGTATTTCATCGAGTCTACATAAGGGGAGGCGGGGCTTATGAAATATGCAGTGTTGGTTTGAAATATTCATTTCTAAGCTACAGAATTGTGATGCCTGGAGCTGCAATAGTTGCACATTCAGGTTTCATTGTTGATGTCAGCACTTGAGGCGTACTGTGTTTGTAAAACACACACACATACACACACATACACACACACTCATTGTTTGCCTAATATTTCCCCCTGACTGCTGTTGAGAGGAGACCCCCTAACAGTTGGGCCAATCATTGTGTTTTAAAGCACCATTATACTGCTCGTTGCTGGATATCAGCGACTACACAGGCCTTAAGTTAGCCGACCGCAGCAGTTCGAGAGTGTGAGCGCTCGCTCTCGATCGCCACAGCCCAGACTTCCAGTGTCATTAAGCCCATTACATGCCCTGTGAGAATCTTCACTGCTTCTGCAGCTCAAAGTGATGACTCCTCAAGCAGGAGCGTGAAATATCTGATGCAGAAATTAGACCGGAACTTCAGCAAATGTGTTAAAAGAATTGGCTGTTAAACGAGTTACATCCTCTGGAAGAATTTATGCATACCGTAGTATACCGAAGCACAAGGTTTGCTTGTCTTGACACCCCAGTATTGGCAATTACTTACACGCTGTCCGTTTCTGGGTATCAACAAGAATTGAGGAACTATAATGAATACTATCTGTGTTTTGCAGTTTTGGTTATTGTAGCAATCTTATTATGAAAAACGTACTATGTATTTATCTATTCATTCGGGCGTTTTCTCCAACTCTGTGATGTTATTGTTTATGCCAAGGAAATCAAGATTGGATTCAGTCAGTTCCAAGAATACTAAACAGTGTGTGCAGATGTTTCTGTGTCTTTCATTTCCATTCCACGATTGTTATTCTAATCATTTCCTAATTAATCCACAGCCATGCACCATGCTTAATGATATATCTGGGTCTCCACAATAGATTTGGATTTCTCTTACCTTCCCAGGGTTTGGACTCCATGTATATCTCAGACTGAAGATACAGAGGGCCAATATCAGGAATACCACACTCAGGATGATGGCGGCACACTGGTAAGCACGATACCTGGCCTTTCTTTCCTTCTCTTTCCCCAGCTCAACCTATAAAAACCAGTCATGTTATCGTACATTTGTATATTTATATGGTGTGATTTCATGTAAAGGTTTCACACATTGAATATATTATGCACCACAATGCTCAACTAAGAAAGAAATAATCACACAGGCAATTTGAATTCTTCCGAGATCAGAACAAAAGGTCACATTTATTAAAATTGTCCCAAATTAAAAGTTCGTCTGTTCGATTAAATTCCCGGAGCTTATGGCCGCAAATTAATAAAGAGAGGCTTTTGTTCCGGCTGAGTTCCAGGAGGGAGAGTCTAAAAGCTTACTATTCACAGTGGTGTGCTCCACTATCTCTCAGGACATGGCCAATCAGAATGATGAAATATGGAGGAACAAGCTTCAATTAGCCAACGTCTCTTGCCGAAACAGAAGCTTAAAGAACAGAAATAGCAGCAGTGACCAGGGGCGCTGGATATTTAGAGCTTATAGCCCAGGCCTCTATAAAGGTGTATGGTTTCATGCTTTGATTAAAATATTGAATAATATTGAAATGTTGCTGTGAGGTGTCATTTAAATGAAATAAATCTTTAAATATACTGTAAAACTAAAAAGGTCACACTAACCTATTGAATTTCAGAGGTTTCATATTTAACACTGTATGTACTATACTTTAAAATGCAAGTTTAAAAAAAACTCACATTAGCCATTAGAGTCGGCAAGTGTTGTTTACAAGTTATCAGGATATTATTAATATTATCACTTCTGATATAAAACATAGTAGCTGTATATTATTAGCATTATGTTTTAATAAAACTGAGTTTTCTGCAAACTGCAAATAAATTTGCCAAAATATCCTTAAGCACTGTATGTTCTTCTCTGTTTTCAGAGTTATGTCTTTGACATTTTTTCTACTTTGCCAAGATATCTGGCTGGACCAAAGTCGAGTTTTTTCTGATTACATTGGTGTGGTCTGTAGAACGGAAAGCGGCACCATCATTTCTTTCACTTTGTGACAGAATAAATAACAAAATGCGGCAGACTTTATGCAAAATTGTCAAAATGTGGCTTGCAAGACCACGTCTGATTTATAGAGCAGCCTGCAGCTCTGAATAATTTTATTTGTGACAAAAATGGTGATAAAAAACATTCGGGGGCTTAAGTCCCAGAAGCCCACCCCTAATGCCGCTCTTGGTGGAGACTCCTGCGATTTTACTTTATCTCACAGTTTAAGACACAGGAATCAGACAATATCATTGAGAGTATTTTTTCTGAACAATTTATTCAGCTAATATACAGTATATAGCCTATTCCTGAAAAGTATAAATGCTCTGAATAAGACTATTCAGAGCATAGACGGTTTCACATCGAGTTTGTCATGAACCCCCTGTTAAAAACATCAAGGCATAAGCCCTCTCGCTACGCATAATGGGAAACAGGAGGACAAACAATTAGAGAAGCCTGAGAAGAATTTCCCCTTGCATGAAGCAAAAATGTGAATAGAGATGGAGCTGAAATCCAGAGGTTGCATAAGCAGTGGAAACTTGACTGGAGGACAACGTTCCATCTGCTCGGAATACAAATGGCTCTGAAAATATACCGGCGGCTGCCAGCAAAACAGTATTAAACCGGTTTAAGGTTAAGAATCAGCGAGGCAATTCTGCTGTAGTGGGATTGAGTCTGAGTCTACGGTGATGAAGGGAGCCGAGGGCCCCCTGCTGATGAGAGAGAGTGAGGAAGGGCGAAGAGGAGAAAGAGAGAGGTAGAGCTGGAGGGAGGGTGTGAGAAAAGAGAAGGGGAGATGAGAGAGGAAAGGAAAAAAAAGTTGAAAGAAAGGAAGGAGAGAGAGAGAATAAGAGAAAAGGAAGAAAAATAGACCCTAGACGGTTGTCCTAAAGCAATTTTTATCTGAATGGATAAATCGGGAAGAATCCCCCTGTAATGTCTGTTATTTCACATCATTGATGGCGATGGAGATCTTTCTTCTTAAAAGAAATTGCTCACTGTTGTACAATTGCTCAAATCTATATTTATCATCACTGGCTCCATGCTATTCTGAAAGGGTATATTAATAATTCTCTGTTGTTACATTATTTTTGAAAAGAAATCCACCCACTTGATTTTCAGCAGAACAGACATATGATTGTGTATACAATGCTGAGAAAATGATCTTGTTTACTTAATTGTAAATCATGTGGAATAATTTGCACAGTAGTAAACGTCTAGCCATACAGCCATGCAGCGCGACGCTCAGCTGGAGAAAAGGCACGAAAGCAACTCAGAAAACTAAACACTCAAAAAGCCTTGCAGTCAGAAATAATGAACATTTTACCCTACCTGACATATCACAACCTTTGAAAAGAGCAATATAACACAAATTAAAAATCAATCTCGGGTCTTCCACTTATCAAATCCTCTTTACTGAAGCTTTTAAGCATTTTGAAAAAAAAGAAAAAAGAAAATATAATTTAGTTATTTTATATTTATACATTACAGAGAGAATCATCATTCCATATGAATATTGAGTTTTATTTAGACCCCCCCCCCCCGCCATTTAG